CCGGGAGCGCTCCCGGCGCCGCCCCCTTCCCCAGCCCGCACCCCCGCCCTCTCCGCTCCCCTTCGCAGACGCGGCCCTTCCTTTCCTCTCCCTCCTCTCCTCTGCCCGCCACCCATGCCGCCCCTCTCCCTCTCCCACGACCAGAGAACGGGGAACTCGGGGAGCCCGCTCACCAGGAGCACGCCAGCACCGGCTTCGAGTACTTTTTGTGGCGGGAGCGGAGGGTCAGGGAGCCCTTGCGCTCCAGCACGTCGGTGGGGCCGAGCTCAAACCTCCTGCTGCGCAAGTCCTGGAGGGAGCTGTCCAAGTTCGCCATGGCCGCGCGTCCAGCGCAGCCCTCGGAGGGTTTCCTCCCCTGCGCCCGTGCCGCCCAGAGCCAAACAAAGACCCAGAATCGGCGTCTCTCATCTCCTAAGCAACCCGGGGCGGGGTCAATGGAGGGGCTGGACTCCCCCAAAACGTAATAGCCTGGGGTTCCAGGACCGTGTAGCTGTGGAGTCAAAGGAAACTACATTTCCCAGAATGCAACGAGGGGGGCGTCCGGGCTGCACAGAAGGAAGAAGAAGCATGTGCATCTTGGGACCTGTAGTTTCGTCCGCCCGCCAGCCTGATCGCCCGAGTGGCTGAGCAGAGTCTCAAGGCGGAGGAGCCCCGGGTCAGTTGAGAGCTAACGGGACCGGACCCCGGAGAGCGGTCCGTTCCCGCTGTTCTTGCATAAGATATTTTTACCATCCATCATCTGTCGCCACCCTACCCTCTGCTTACGAGTTTGGCCAAAAGGGAACAAGAGAACAACCCTTAAACCCTAAAATATGTCATTTCTGCACAGCTTTTCTGAGAAAGAGGAGGCACGGAAGCATTGGGCTAAAATGCCTGAGGCTGAAATGGCCTGGCTGGTTCCAGTTTCAGCTGCTTTCAGAACCTTTCTGAACACGAGTTTCTTCCTCTGGAAAAACGAAGGAGGGGGTGGGACTGTAGAAGGGGCTGGGTGAGGCAAGAAGCTGAGCTTGCTTCAGATTCTGAGTACAGGTTAGGGCTCCGGGACCTTCAGCTCCCTAAGACTTGCCAAGCTTTTATTATTGAAACCATGGTATTTTGTGACAATACAAAGCCGTCACATCATTGTGTTGTGAATTATATGTGAGGAGATTCCAAAACGATTATGACGTTGGATGGCTGGGTTATAGAAGGAAAGTGCTTATTTCACTTTTCACTTTCCAAGTCAGGAATATTCAACACATCAGGATTCTCCTCCCCATCCTCTCAGCTGAATACCTCGGCCGTCCCTCTTCCCTGGCACAGTGCTTTTAGCACAGGCATCATTTCAGAGTGCTGAATGAATGGCTGTTGTGTTTGATTATTTTACATTTACCTGGGCTTTCAGAAGTGTCTTACTTTATGAAGACTGCATGTACACGAAAGTTCAAATTTAAAAGCAGACGAATTAAGAGATTTCACACTACAGATTCTCTAGTTTGCAAAACATCTGTTATAGCTTTTCTAGATCAGTTTTCATAAATTTGATTACACACAACTATTAAGTGCTTTACGGTGGCCTGTGGTTGACCACTGTGGGCACCTGTGGTACCTAAGACCCCTATTTTACAGAGAGCCACAGGTAAGCCACGTTATTTAAAACCAAGCCAGCTAAGAGCTAGTAGATTGCTGACCACCATGTTAGTCCTTCTTGAAGGAATGGAGAAGAAAAAAAAAGTTAATTTTAAAAGGGTAAACAAGATCTGTGTTAAGCTCAGTGGTATACAAAGCATAGCATATTGCTGTTGCTCCAAATATTACCACCATTGCTATCATCTGTTTGTTTGTGTGTTTATTTTACTTATGCTTCAAGTGTTAGCAACACATTAATGTGCAACCAAGACGTCAGGTCTGTGCAGCCAATCTGATGTAGAGACGGAGCTGCCCAGAGCCAAGACCTCTCTCTATATTGCACAGGTTCTGCAGAGATTTAAAAGCTTTTCCACACACCAACTAGCAGTAAGTTAAGAAAACAAGCAAAAGATAGCTTGTTATTTTAGAGTTCCTTAAGCTAAGCTGACAACCTATTTAAGTCTAAAAATATGCTTTTTTTTTTTTTTTTTTTNGGTTAATAAACAACTGTTTATATAACATAAGCTCCTGTTATTCAGCATCTCTAAGCTTTATTAACCATTCTCACTTGTGATAGTGTGGATTCTGCCTTCCTGATCTGAAGACATTATTATTATGAACAAAATTAAAACTTTTTATAAATCACATACTACAGTTCTTAAAATGTCTTGTGCTTGCTAAAATATAGCTTCTGAAACCTCACTCCATGAGAAACTGATTTGGAAGGTAGAACCCAGGAATCTGTATTTTATTAACCATCCCTAGGTATTCTTATGCAGATGGCTATTGGGCCATGCTGAGAAATTCTGCTCTACCAGCAGTAATAAATTGGCCATTAGAGACACTTTAATGTTTTCTACTTTTTCTTCCTCCCAATGGCCAGGAAAGGTTTATGTGATAGGCCTGTAGCTTAACATCACCAAGTCTCTCTCTCCCTGTCTAGCCTGGAGAGATCAGGTGGCCTGGGCAATCAGATTCAGAGAGCAAAGCCAGGGGAAATGTGAATGTGGTCCTGGTATCTCTGATTCTACACAGTGATTACACACCAAATGCTTCTAGTTTGGTAGCAAAACCTCTTAGAGGCCTTTTTATTTAGTAGCTAAATTATTTTTGCAGACTATCAGAGGACCTCAAAGTTGACCACTCTCTTCAGGGTAATTAATCAAACTTTTTTTTTGCCCGGCCGGGCGTGGCTCAGTGGTTCAGCATCGACCTAGGATCCAGGTGATTGGGGTTCGATTCCTGGTCAGGGCACATGCCCGGGTTGTGGGCTCGATCAATGACTCTCTCATCATTGATGTTTCTCTCTCTCTCCCTCTCCTTTCCTCTCTCTGAAATCAATAAAGATATATTTTAAATATATATATATGCTTTTTTGTTATACTACTCTCTTTCCCCTTTATAACAGCTTTAGTATAAGCTTTATTGTCTTCTGTGTCTACTAAATACTTTTCAACATCCTCATGTTGGGATAGAGGAGATTAACTCTTGATACCCTCAAATTCAGATGCTTTTCATTCTCTTTGTCTACACCAGTACATTCCAAAGAATTTTTGATTTGTTTAATCCTTATTGATAAAATAGAAATAAAACAGTATTTATCGGAGGGGAATTTTGTAAGAATTACATAACTATATTGAAATAGGGTGGAACATTGCCTAATAAATGTTCAGTCTGCAATTGAACTTCAACTACTACTGCTATTATTACATCCTAACTTTGTTCTTATCATTTGGAAAAAGCACCCTAAAATGTGTGTGTTTGGGGGTGAGATTTCCTAAGTACAGTCATTGTTTTTCAAGCTTTGTCTGTTTACAAGGTCTTTTTAATGAATATCTTTTTATCATATTCTAATATGAAACTTAATAGTCTGAATCAGAAAAATGTTGGCAAGATATCTGGATATGTTACTATTGATAATAATGGTTTTATATTCATATAGTATCTTTTCACTTCAAAATCTTTAATAAGCTTTATGCTTTATAAATGTGAAATGACTAATCCTCAACACACTTGACTTATCCTTGTTTTCCTAAAACTTCATCAGACCAATAAAGTGTAGGGCTTAAAGCAGTGCCTTCTATTTATATTAATCTCTTTTCACCATAATAGCCTTGGGGTAAAATTATAGCTCAGGTGGCTCAAACAGGACTTTTCTGTAGGATAAGTGCAGGCAGACCAATCCAAGAAGGGGGAATCTCATCATCTGAGCCTAGTCTAATATATTTCTTGATTAGCATGATCAGGTCCTTAAAGAGGTTGCCCAGGAGACCAGAGATGTAAATGAGCCAGATATAAATGGCCACAGAGAAAAGCCTCTCCATCTCGTTTCCCTTCCTGTCTCAACAACTCATCTGCTCAATTCCCGTAAAAGCCCTGCTCAGGCCCTTCCAAAGTCACCATCAGCATGTTCTTCCATTTCTTCTTTCTACTAAATGTCATTCATTTAAGCTGAGAGACAAAATTTTTAATTACATAAGAAAGTTAATTTGTATTATCTTGTTTTGAATCTAGTTTAAATATATTAAAAGCTTGTGTTTAAATTTAAAACTAAGTATTTATGTCCTAATCAAGGGCTGCCTAGTATTTTATTTTATCTTTTAATTCTCCTGTTATCCACGATGCATACATCCAGGATTCACTTTTTAATATTTTATATACAAAAGTTGGAGCCCACCTGCTATGTCGAAGAGCATCAGTGCCTGGTTATCCTTTCCTCTTCCATGCCCTACCCCTTCCCTTCTCTCCCCTTCTTTCTAGCCTCTTCTCTCTATTTCCTCTTTTCTTCCTCCTCTGAGATATGATATGGATTTTAGAGTTAGAATCTATTGCTGAAATTGTGGTATAATTCAAAGGTACAGTGGAGCCTCGGTTTTCTAATGTGATCCGCTCCAGAAGACCCTTTGAGCTCTGAACCGTTCAAAAGCTGAGGGATCCACAGCCCACAGCGAGGCCTCAGGACCTTGCCCTCGGCCGCAGCTCCTTTCTGCTCCCGACCAGGGTGGACATTGTCCCACTTTCCCTGCAAGACCCACGGCTGTCGTTCTGGTGAGAGGGCGGGTGAGGCGCTGACCAAAGGCTTCTCCCACGGCCGGGTGCATGCGGGCGCTGCCTGGGTGCTGAGTAAGCCAAGCACACAGCTGGGTGCCCAGCGCCCCGGGCTGGGGTGGAGGTGAGGAGCTGAGGGAAGAAGCCGGAGAACCTGCTGAACCTTGAAGGACCGCCTGAGCTTTGCGTGATTTCGAGTTTCCCATATTCAGGTGGCATGTATCAGACCTGTGGTGCTCTTTCCTCGTTAATTAAATACCTTTCTTTAGCATCATATTTAAACGTTGCTTTCAAGTAGAGGGGTCCGAGCTATTTCAGAAGGGCCATTTCCTAAAGAGCCAGGAGGGGCCTAAAAGCAACTCAAGTACGAGAACCTTTTTTTGTTTAAATAAAGGAAATAAAGACTTAGAAAGAATAGCATACTTAACACCAAGGGCCCATTTAGTTTCTTGTCACCCACCCTGTAATTAGTATATTCTTTACCTTTTGGAAGATGGTTCAAGCTGGGGAAAAGCGTTGAAATGGTTCTTTCAGAGGAAGGTTAGGTACCATCCAACAAGTCGTGTTCTCCAGAAAGGGCGGGTTTTTGAGAAGTTGTGCTGTGGGGGCTACAAAGGGAATCCGATGTGGAGTCTGCCTCCTGGGGGAACTGAAGGCAGGGTCGGCTGCTTTATTATTGCCCCACCTTAACTCCTCTCTTCCTCCAGCATCTCACCCTGCCCTAAGGGGAGAGAAGGTCTTATTTAATCGCT